GGTTCAGACTTGGTGTGCATGAGATGGGGCCTGAGAGCGTGCATTTCGGACACCAGTGAGGCTGCTGGTGAAGGCCCACGGATCTCACAGGAGGGACAAGGCTGAAGAGGACTCATGAATGGCTCTGGGAAAATGACTGGGATGTGCCCCGGTTCCTGAGAAACAGAAGCGGTAGAAAAAGCTTGTGAAGGAAAACTGGCTGGTGTGGTGGTGGAAGCTGACCAGCTCGGAGATCTGCAGTTGGCCAGCGGGTGGCCCGGAAAGGCCAATGCCACAGTCCTAATCTGTGCCTGCAGGGCCGACAGCCAGGAGTGCTGAGGGTGTGAGTTCCAGTCTGAATGCCGGCAGGCTTGAGATGATAGAAATTATGTCCAAATTTGAGTCTAAAAGCAGGAAAAGAAGGAAGACCCTTTCCCAGCCCGATGCCTGGTGGGCAAGAGGGCTCCTTCTCACAGGGGTGAACATTTTTGTTCTATGCAGGCCTTCACCTGATCACATGAGGCCCACCCAAATTAGGGAGGGCAATTTTCTTTGCTCAGTTCACCAATTCAAATAATAATCCCACCTAAGGACACATGAACATGTCCAGAATAATATTTCACCAAATGTCTGGCTACTCTGGCCCCAGACAACTTGACATAAAGTGAACCATCCCAGATTGGGAACGCTTGTACCCTTTTGGAGTCTTCATGACCCTTGGGTTGACCTTGCTTTTCTTCTCATAGTTCTTTAGTGAGAATATCTAGATATGTCTCCTCATGAGCTAAATGTTCTTTGCTGCACTGGATCTCCAAATATTCAAGGATATTTCTCCATAGGCTGCCTGGGTTTGTGACATTTTTAGCATAAAAAGGACAAACATTACATTGAATTTACAGAGCCCCTTAATAGATATATATTGAGTGCTTTCGATATATTGTATGAAATATTAAATGATTGTGTGAAAAGTACAAACTAGAGGTCAAAGAAACTGAGGATAAGATAGACATTTGGACTGGAAGCGATGTGGGTAACATTGACTATGCAATTTGTGGAGTCCAGGGAAAGATGAAAATAGGGTACCCTCATTCAAAAGTTAAGAAAATTTCAAGATAGCCAGGGCAGAGCAGTGAGCCAAGTGTGTGGCCCTCTGAGCTTGCAGCCCTGTGGGGTCACACAGGTCATACACCCAAGAGCTGGACCCGGGTCTGGTGATTGTGGAGGAAGGATGGAGACGAGGAACCAATATGGTGGAAGGGAAGGTGGAGACTCAGCTCAGGAGCTGGGTGGAATCAAAGGTTCTGTTCCAAATGCTGGGGTACTGACTTGTGCCTTTTTATTTTATTCTTTTCTTTTTCCAACCAGATAATTTAAAAAAAGAAATTTTATTTTAATTATTTTTTTTTTGGTACCAGGGATTGAACTCGGGTCCTTATGCTTGCGCAGCAGGCGGCGAAACCACTGAGCTAAATCCCCGGCCCTAAAAAAAGAAATTCTAAAAAGCACTGTACTTTCAACAAAGCAGTATAGTCCTCAGGCATTATCTTTACCATTCCACAATATTTACAAATTAACTAGTTTGTGTCACTTCAGTGGAGGAGGGGGTTGCTTCTTGGGAAGACAAAGGCCAGGGCTCTCTGGGCCATGTCTGAATACCCAGAGAAGCCCTGCAGTGGTGGACCTCAGAAAAGGGTCCCCTGGAGAATGGTTTCCTGATCCCAACGTGGGCCTCCCTCAGTGCCTGCTGTCCTGGGCATTGTCAGGGCTTCACCTTTCATCAGTGACCTGGTCAGTTGGTTAGAGAAAAGCACAGAGGGTAAAACAAAAACAAAAACTAGAGGTACCAGCCAGGAAGATTTGACTCACTCGAATTTTCTCAGTCTAGATTTGAGCCTGGGATCTGCTCAGTAATTCTTGGTGTAGATTACTGGGTGCAAGGGTCTTGGCACAAAATTAAAGGCGAATCAGGGCAGAATTACAGACTCTCACCTCACTCCCGGTGGGCTCCCACGAGAATGATGTGTATGGATACATCCACAGCACACACTCCGAGAGAGGGAAGCATGCAGGTGAGGAGCTCATGTTGAGTGGGAGACCTCTTGGCCTGCTTCCTGAGACTGGGTGATGTATGAAGGACAGATTTATTCAGCTCACAGTCCCAGAGGCTGGAAGTCTTAGGCTGGGTGACTGCACCTGGCTGGGGCCTTGTGCTGCGTCACAATACGACGGAAAAGCAGAAGGGCAAGTGGACACATGCAGAAAAGACATGAGCTGGCTAACTAGTCCATGGTAACTAGTCCAGTCCATGGGAGAGTGTTGAATCACTCTCTGAAGAATTAACCAGTCCCTTGCTGGGGTGGTGGTGGTGCACACCTGTAGTCCCAGCTACTTGGGAGGCTGAGGCAGGAGGATCTCAATTTCAAAACCAGCCTGGGCATCTTAATGAGACCTTGTCTGAAAATTTAAAAAAGGAGCCAGGTGTGGTGGTGGATGCCTGTAACTTCAGCTACTCTGGAGGCTGACAGGAGGATTGCAAATTAGCAAAAGTCTCTACTATGCCCCTACAATTAAAATTTAAGAAGTGGGGAGAGGACTGAGGCTGTAACTATGTGGTAGGGCACCAAACACCCATGGGTTTGAGCTCCAGTATTACCTCTACCAGAAGCATTCACTGAGCATTTATGTGTGCCAGGTGCTGTCCCAGACCACCGGGCACAGCAGGGAATCGGGAGAGCCCGCTCTCAGGAAGCAGCCGCTAGCATGAAGAGCAGCTCAGGCACAGGGGGTATCGGGGTGCCCGGCGTGGGCTCACCCTGTGTCACCATACTGGGGAAGGCCACTGATGGTGACTCAGCGATGACTCTGTCGGGAGAAGATGCTGACTTCCGGGTGAAGCTGGAGTCATGCTCCTCTCCTGCCTGAAATCCTGAATTCTGCCTTTGATCACTGTTTCTTCCTTAATGTCAGCGCCATGTTCTCCTTAGATGTCAATGGTGCCCTCGGGAGACGAGATGGCAGGACGCTCTGCCAGATGGCACTTGTCTGATTTTAATCAAAATGCCCTCTTCTCTCTGCCACGGTGGGGAGCAGCAACACAAAGCTCAGGTCAGAGGCAGGCAGCCCCTGCCGTCTGTGAGGTCAGAGAACAGGCATAAATCCTGGGTTGGCTTCACTCTGTCCACCCCGGTGGCCACAGTGCTCAGAGGCAGAGTCCTCCCGAGCGAGTGGATGTCTCCATCCCCTCTCCCTTTCCAGGGTACATCGCCACAGTCAGGTCCTCAACCATAGACTGAAATGTTATTGTCTTATTTTTAAAGACGATGGCACAACTGTGATGAGGGAACTGGGCTAATTTAGTTAACAGCTGACACTTATGAGTTCCAACTATGAGCTGCGTGTGACCTCTTTTTAATTCTCTTGGCATCCTCATAGGTTAGGTGTTACTACCCCTATTTCAGAGAACAAGAATTAAGGCTTGAGAGAGATGAGTAACCTGCTCAAGGCTACAAAGCTGCTAGGTTGTGAAGCTTGAACTCTGAAAATCACCTGCCGGGTGTGGGTTTAGCTTGGTGTCCCCACAGTGGAGTGAGCCATTTATTGTCTAGCAACTGGTTTTCACATTTTGCTTTTCTTTTTTGGCAGTACTGGGCATTGAACCCAGGGTCTATTGCACTGAGGTACATCTTCAGCCCCTTTTAAAATTTTTAGACAAAGTCTTGCTAAGTTGCCCAGATGGGGCTCAAACTTGGGATCCTCCTGTCTCAGACTCCTAGAGTCCTGGGATTACAGGTGTGTGCCTACAGGGCTGTCCTGCTTTCAGGGTTTCTTAGGAGCAAGGCAGTCGGCTGGAGCTCTGAGGGTCATCTGAAGCTTACTCAGCAACAATGTGACCTGGTGAATAGAAGGGCCCAGAATTGAGCCAACTACAGGTCTTTCTGGGTGCTGGCGGGACCCCCAGGATACCCAAATCTACAGATAATTAAGCCCACCTTTCATCCTTCTCACACAATTTGGGATGGAATCCAGGGGCTATCTATCACGTAACTACATTCTCAGGCCTTTTTGAGACAGGATCTAAGTTGCCCACGTGGGACTCTACCTTGTGATCCTCCTGTCTCAGCCTCCCTCAGTGCTGGGATTGATTACAGGCATGCGCCACTGGGCCCAGTTTAAGTTCCTCTATCAAACAGTACAGTGTTTGTCTATAACCCCTCACATCCTCCCTACACTTCATCTCTATAGTGCTCTGGACAATGCAATGTAAATGCTGTTTAAACAATTGTACTGGCTAGGAAATAATGACGAGAAATGAGTGCGCATGTTCAGTACCATCTGAGTAGTTTTCATGTAGGCTGGTTGGAGCTGAGGATGCGGAGGGCCAACTGGATGTCTCTCCTAGAAAAGCCTCCCTTCAGCTGCCTCTGCATGTCTGTGTGCAAGATATTTAGGTGCCTAGCCAACATTATTTACTGCCACCATGTGCTAATACTAACTCACTTATCCTCATACCAACCCTGTGTGGTAGCCACTATTATTAACCTCTCAATTATATAGATGGGGAAACTGAGGCATGGAAGTCTGTAGCAATTTATCCTGAATTACAGCTTGAAAGTCATAGGGCTTGAATGTCCAACGCCCCGGCCACAGAGTCTGCGTTTAAGCATTGCCAAATGTGCTTCTGAACACACTTGAAAAGCTCTTTAGCTGGGTGTGGTGTATGCCTGTAATTCCAGCACTCTTCGAGGCTGAGGCAGGACTGTAAATTTGGTTTTTTATTTTTAGGTACTGGGGATCGAACTCAGGTCCTTGAGCTTTTCAAAGCAGGCGGCGGAACCACTGAGCTAAATCCCTGGCCCCCAAGGACTGTAAATTTGAAAGCAGCCTGGGCAACTTAGCAAGATCCTGTCTCAAAATTTAAAAAGGCTGGGGACGTAGCTCATTTGCAAAGGCCTGGGTTGAATCCTCAGTACACACACACACACACACACAAAACAAACCCCAAAATCAAAACTCTCCACTCATTTCCAAATGTACTCATTTCATTTATGTGTGCACACCCAAACACACACACATTTTCCAAGATGGTGGTTCGAAAAAAGCCAAGAAATTGCTCTTCCCCCTGAATGAGGAGCTTTATGAAGGAATGATTCTTCATTGAGAAGCTTGTGCAGGATACTGGCTGAGGCAACACTGGTTTTGGAAGGGGTATCTTCTGAAAAAGCTTTTGAATTTGACCCAGAAAGGCCCTCGGGACAGCTGTCATGGAGCCAAGAGAACAAATCACATTGACAGCCATGATCCTAAACATTCTCCTTTAACTGACCTTTTAGAGGCACTTCAAATCTTTTGTTGATTGAACCCAGGGTGCTGTAGCCATGAGCTACATTCTCAGCTATTTATATTTTTAGACAGGGTCTCGCTAAGATGTTAGGCTGGTCAGGAACTTGGAATCCTCCTGCCTCAGCTTTCCAAGGAGCTGGGGCTACAGGCATGGGCCACAGCGTTCAGCAGCACTGCAAACCTTTAAAGCTCTTGCATGCAATTTAGCTCCTCTGTAATCCTTTACATATTTTAAAGCGTTTTGAGCAAAATGTGCCAAGTACTCAGATACAGCAGTGAAGATAAGATTCTAGCTCCGAGGAGCGCCGCGCTGGTAGGGAACGTGATGAACTTGCAGCTTCAGCACCCTGTAACACGGGAGGCTCCCCAGGGTCTAAGCCCGCGTGCCCTACTGCGCGGGTGCACTGCCAGCCACGCTGGGATCTGAAGACCTGGTCCAGTGCCGGGCTTGGCTGGGGGTGAATCTGTTTGTGGGGAAAGAGAAGAGGCGTAGAATAGAGAGCCAGAATTTTTTGTTTGTTTGTTTAGAGGATCGTTTTACAAAGTGGACAACAGATTGGGGCGGCAGGGCGGGGCGGGGGGGGGGCAGGCCCGGGGCAGAAAGACCATGGGATGCCTTTGATGAAGGAGGATGGGTGGAGGGATGGATTTGGGAGGTAATGTGAGAGAGGGCTGAAGGAGGAGTAAAGGATGATTTGTAATTTTCCATTTTAGGTTTACCTGCCAAGGCCCTGGCAGTTCCTTTTATGGTTCCTTTTACTTTTTACTTTTTAACCTGGGGGCGCAGACCGCTCCCCCCCACCCCATAGTGGTGGAACGCACCTTCCTCACCCAGCCTGTCCTTGCCGCGAAGTCTAGCGCTCTTACTTAGGGCCAGGGCCAGGTCTGGCCTGGTGTAGGGAGGCGGTTTCCCTGCAGGGTCTAGCCAGCGCCCCTCCGCCGGGCCACAGGTAAGGGACGCGACCGGCAGGTGTGCGCGAAGCCGCCGCCCAGGAGGTGGACGCGAGGCCCAAGCCCTCACCGAGATGCACGTGCGGGGAGCCAGGATCCCGGAGACTCGGGGAAAAGCCGCCGTGTCCCCAAGTGGAACCTCTCTAACCTCCTGGGGCATCCACGCCAAGGGACTGCGTTAGGTTTTCTTTCCTCTTCTACAAGTTCCCGTGTCACCTTCCAGCTAGCCGCACCACGTGTGGCAGGTGTGGTTTCTGGCTCCTTGCCTGCCCCGTTCGGTTGCCCCTGCCCCTCCGCCTGAGGTGGCAGAAAAACCCTTCACCTCCGACCAATCCCGCCCACGCCGCGCCGCGCGCGCGCCAACTAGAGCTCCCGCAGCGCACGCCATTGGCCACCTCCACCTCGGAGCGGTGACGGGCAGCTTCGCGGGCCTATGGCAGGAGGAGGCGAAGGCCGCTCGGCCCTCCCCGCGCTGCTTTGTTAGGGGCTCCTCGCCGTTCCCGGCCTCCCGCGCCTCCGCTGTCTGCCCGCCGTCTCCCGAGGCCGCGGCGCCGGAGCCCCGATAGCTTCCTGCGGAGCGCGCGGCGTTAGCATCCTTCCAGCCGCGGACGCGGGCCGAGATGCAGCGCGGGTACCCAGCGTGGGGCTGTTGTGACTCTCCAGCTCAACTCCGAACGCCCCGCTCCCGTGTCCCTCACCTCTGATTGGCTGGCCGGAGGCGGAGCGATTGTCAGGCGGCCCAATCGGAGCGTGGTTTCCCACGGGCTCCCGCGGCCCCGCCCCCACGGCCTCCGGTGGAGGCTCCCTGGCAGCTCCCATTGGCTGCCGGCGAGCGGTCCAGAGCTCGGCGGGGCACATCTGCGCCGCCGCCGTCGGGCGCTCAGCTCTGCAGCGCGGAGATCGCTTTGGAGCTCTCAGCTCCAGGGCCCCAGCGGCCCCGCATTGTGCCCGGCGCGGGCGCGGGCGCGGGGATCTGGGGCGGGCTTTGCAGGTGAGTCCCGCGGGCCTGCGGGACCGGGGTGGGCCGGGCCGGGCCAGGCGGGCAGAGCCGCCCCAAGGGATGGGGACGCGAGTGCCCGAGCCGTGCCCGAACCGGCGCGTCCTGCCCCGGGCTCCCGCACACTGGGGCTCCCGGCGGGTCCTAGCTCCCTCAGGTCGGGCCCTGCGCGTATTGTTTTCGGGTGCACACTCGGCAGTGGGGCTCTGAGGGCGGCGCGAGGAGGCCCCTCGCGGACAGGGGAGGCGAGGGCGCGGAGCCCAGGTGCCCGGCGCCGGCTGACAGTGCCCGGGCGTCCCCGGGAGGCAGCGCTGACCTGCGGCGGCGGCTGCGCTGTGCCTCTGTCGGCGGATTTTTAAATCAACTTCTGGGAGCGCGCCGTGTGCCTCCCGTTCTGCCTCGGGCGCTCACGGGCCTGGCTCTTCCGCAGCGCGGCCGGGTGCTCACCTTGGCCCTCCGTGTGACGCGCAGGGCCGGGCACCCTGGGCGGAGAGCCCGGGGCGAGCACCTGGGGCTGCGGACCCGCGGAGGGCCCAGGAGGGGGCATCGGAAGCCAAGCCCTACGCTTGTGCAGACAATGAGTGGTGCGGTGGCGGGGGTCCCAGTGGCGGATCCCGTCCTCGCCTCGCCCTCTCGCCGGCTCTGCCGCTCCGGTGCCGCTCCGCGCCGGCTGGGGACCCGCGTGGGGCCCGCTTTTGTTTACAGACCTCGTCATTGGGCGAGAGTCGAGCGCTGCGCCCCCCAGGCCCCGGCCGCTGTCGCTGTCGCCTGCCTCCGCCGAGTGGGGAGAAGTTGGCGCGCGCCGGCAGGTGACGCCCCCTGCCCAGGTCTGGAGCAGGATGCTCCGGGGAGAAGCGGCCAACTCCGCGCCGCTGCGCCCAGCCCCCGCCCCGCCCCGACCGCTCGCGTCCCTGCACCCCGAGTGCTGGTGTCCCGGCCCGGGCCCTCAGGGTGGCAGCCGTCGGGGCGCTGACCTGGCCTCCCCGCCCCTTTCCAGTAGCCCCGGTGGTCCTTCGACAGTCAGGCCGACTTGCAGCCCGTCTTTTCCTGCGCGTCGGCAGATTTTGAAGGACTCGTGGGAGCCCCCGGGACGCCGCAAACGCCTGCTTGCTTCAGCGGTACCCACGCGGCGCCGTGCAGCAGAGGTGTGGCGCCTTGGAGCCCTCGCGGTCGGGATCGGGTTACGGTGCCGGCCGAGCCGCGCACGCTCGGACAGGCTGCGCCCGGCCGGGGTCAGGCATACTCGGTGCCAGAGCCTGCTCAGGGTAGCTCTCCAGCTGGGCGACCCGGCTGGAGCTAGCCTCAGTTTGTGTGCCTGTAGAGTGGGGCTAATGAGTATCCAGAGGGGATGGATGGGTTGCGCGGGACAGTGATTGGTCACACATAAAACACTGGGGTCAGGTTGGCCCTCTGTTAGAAGGGCCCCCAGCGCCCCCTTTTCCGAATTCCCTAGGCTTTCAGCCCCCATTTGCAAAGACCCGGAGGACTGCTGTTTTCAGCTGCGGAACAGGAGTTGTTTGACTTGGCTTTAGATGTAATTATACTTATCTTGTTTGACTTTCCATTGGGTTTTAGTTGTTTCTTCTTCCTTCTTCCTGCAGACTCTGTGAGGCCCCGACCTGGGCTGGCAGGAGGAGGAACCCGGCAGCTGGGCAGGGTGGCTGGTGAGCCAATGACTGCTCTGGGAAGTGGTTACCCCGGGGCGGAGGGAGCTTTGAACAAAGCTGTCGGGAGGCGACACTTCCTAGGCCAGGTGAAGTTTAAGGTCTGCCCTGAACCGGAAAAAGTTTACTAACTCTTGGTTCCAGAGTGGGCTCTTTCGTGCCTGGAAGTAGAGTTTGCAAGAGAGGGTGACTTTGAGTGGTAAACGTCGAAGTTGCTAAGTAATTATCTTTAAATGGAGAAGAAATAGTGAGCAGGAAGGTAGGAGAGAACTGACTTGGTTGAATATATTCAAAGCGCCATCTGTGTGTTTTGACCACGTTTTGCCCTCCTCTAGCTCTGTTCTGCTGATTTCTTTGGGCAGAAAGAAAAGCCAGTACCATATTAAAAACGAAAGAGCAAAACAGGAGCAACCCATAGTGAGATTAAATAGTTTAAAAAGACAGGATCTCAAGATATTATTGCAGAGATGCTTCCTGCTTTAACACCCTTTGCCTGCTGGGAGAATTATTGAGCTGGGTCCAACAACAGGCCCTTTTGCATATAGACGGCAGAGGCCTCTGCCAGCCCCAGCAAGCAACAGATAAACAAACACCAGCAAGAGAGGCTCCATGCTGCCCTGTGACTGCAAAAGCCTGCAGGCCGGTAGAGTGACTGTAGACACCCATTACTGAATGTGATAAAAGGATTGACTCCTATCTTTCCTGCACTTGTCTGGGGCCATTCTCTGGCCCTTAGAGATGCCAGGTTGCTCTCCCTCCTGCTGGTGTCTGTGGACTGGATCCACTGGGGGTCTAAGCTTAAAAGAGAGAGAGTGGTTAGGAAATCTCATTAGCTGACAATTTAACTGCACTCTAAAGCTCATCCAAAGAGCCAGGACAAAAACCTCCCCTCTTTCCCTCTGCAGTTCTCCCTTCCCCCTCCCCCTCTAAGCCAGCAGAGAAAAGCAGCACTGGTCCCGTCTGTCTCTCCCTCCAGAATTCCAGTGGTTCTGGGCTTCTGCCTGCTGGCCCCTGGCTTTCTTGACCACCTGGCTGAGAACCCTTCCCCCAAGCTTTGCTGACAGCCTACTTTGTTTTCGAGTAACATCTGTCGACACTAAAAAATGTGCAATGCGCTGAGCACTATGGCATGTGTCTTTAATCCTGGCTATTCAGGAGGCTGAGGCAGGACGATCACAAATTGCTGGCCTGGGCAATTTATTGAGCTTTTACTAAAAAAAAAAATAAAAAAAATAAAAAGGGCTGGGGAGCGCTCTATGGTACAGTGTTTGCCTTGTGTGTCATGGCCCTGGGTTCAATTCCCATCACTGCAAAAAAAAAAAGTTTAATACAAGCCTGTAATTTCCCACATGAGGAAGGAGCTGAGTAGGAATCACATGTACTTCCTTGGCTGGAAATGAGCTGTGACAGAGGGTTCTGCTTGTCTGAGGGGTGTGGAGGGTTGCAGATGAAATCCTGAAAGAGAATGGGTCCTCGGGACAGTGTGCAGATGCCAAGAGTCACAGCGGTGGGCGAGAAAGCGTTCTTCTCACTGTCTCCAGCTGTTTGGTCTCCTGTTTGAAAACCAGTTTCATTGTGTGTGTGTGTGTGTGTGTGTGTGTGTGTACGTGCATCAAGGCACAAACCATTTAGCTTAGCCATGTTAATTGGCTTTACTTATATATATTTATTTACTTATTTTGGGTGTTTTGATACAGGGTCTGGCTGTGTAGTCCAGGCTGACCTGGAGCTGGCTGCAATTCTCCTGCCTCGGCTTCTGGAGTGGTGGAATTACAGGCGTGTGCCACTATTCCTGGCTAACATTTTGTTTTATATAATTTCTGTGTCAAAGAGAAACAAAAAAAGAAATGTCTCATCATCACCGAAGGCTAAGTCACTTATTTGAAAAAACTGAAAGAAAAATAAAGGAGGCACTCAGAAATAAAGCGGTATTCAGCAAGGAACGGAGTGTTTCAAAAGCAAAACAATGTTCTAGTGTGAAAGGGTGTGCAATATTAACAGGCAGACTTTTCCCCTTCCATCCTGTCCCCTTCCCAAATGCAGGTCCCTCCTCCACAGCCTGCCTGCATAAGACTTTCCTTGTTTCCCAGGTCTCCCGGGGTCTCATTAAGAAATTCACCAGGACCTGGGCTGTAGGTCTGGAGAGGGGAGTGTGTGGTTGTGTGTGTGTGTGTGTGTGTGTGTGTGTGTGTATGTGTGTGTCTGAGGAGACCCTGGTACTCCTCTCCTAGCTGAGGCCGAGCCCAGCAACCATGTGTTGTGCCATGGGACAGGGCGTGGGGTCCGGGTTCCCAGGCTGGAGTGAAGTGGACGGGCTGGGTGCAGCCTTGGGGAGATCGGAGAGCTGAGAGCTGATCAGCTGTGGGCAGAGGGAGGTTAGAGAGCCAGTGATGATTTAGCCTCAACCTCTGGCCCAGGCCTTCTGCTCCTGTCCCAAGCCGTCTGGGTTAGGGGACAGTATGAAAAGTACTTCATGTGTTTTGGGCAGGACCGTTTGACTTACTTATTTAAAAAATACACTTTTTGTTTATTTTTAATTTTTGAGACAGGGTTTCACCAGGTTGCCAAGGCTGAGCTGGGGCTTGTCATCCTGCCTCAGCCTGCCAGAATGCTGGGGTTCCAGGCATGAGGCACTACATGGGTTCTGGGGCCATTTTGAATTTATGAAGGAGAAAGAAATGAAAGAGGAAGGTTTTTTTGATTTAAAAATAATAACCCCCAACCCAACACCTATGTTATTGATTCCAGTTTCTGTTCTGAGCATAATCTTTTCTTTCTTTCCTCCTCTCTGTTGGTATGTGTTTGCAGTGCATGTTTATGTTCCCTGTGTGGAGCTGGTACATACACATCTTCATTCCTTTTTTCATTTCTTTCCTTCCTCTCCCTTCCTTCCCCATCTCTGGATCTTCCCTTTTGAGAAAGCTCCATTTCCCTACTTCCTATTATCTTTTATTTTGCTCTGTATTTGTATTCTGGGTTTCTCATATAAGAGAAACCATGCTATATTTAAGCTTGTGTGTCTGATTTATTTCACTTAACATTATGGTCTCAAGGTGCATCTGTTTCCTACAAATGACTCAAGCCTGTCCTTTTTAATGGCAGAGTAGTACTCCATTATGTATAAATACTGTGCCATGTTTTCTTTATTCATTTGTCTGTTGATGGACCTATATGTTGCCTCCAAGATTTGTTGGTGGGAATGTAAACTAGTACAACCGCTGTGGAAATCAATACGGAGATTCCTCAAAAAACTAAAACCAGAGCATAATTTTATTAAGGATCAAAGATTAGTACAGCAGTCCTTCCTTATCTGCGGTGTTTGCTTCTCACAGTTTCAGTTATCTAGGGTCAACTGTGGTCTGAAAATATTAAATGGGAAATTCCCAAAAAAGAAAAAGAAAATCCCAGAAATAAACAGTTGATAAGTTTAGATAACTTCTATTAAAGTTCATGGTTATGATTGTCCCATATTGCTCTTTGTGCCAGTGGGAATGCAGGCCTCCGGGTGCTAGGCAGGTGCTGAAGCACCGAGTGACAGCCCAGCCCCAGATACTTGGTCACTGTCTGGCTCTTATGGGCCTGACCTGAAAGCTACGCTGTAGCCCGGGTCTGTAACTGAGGAGACAGTGTGTGCAGGGGATGGAGCTCTGGGTGCGGAGCCCCAGGTGTTGGAGCTGCCTCGCCCAACTTGGCCTGGGAGGGTCGTGGCTGGAGGGCTCGGGGATCCAGAGATCCGGAAGACCTGCAGGGAGATGCCCACTGGGGACCAGGCCTCTAGATATCTTTTTTTTTTTTTTTCTTGGCGTCACTGGGATCGAACCCAGGGCCTTCACAGGCGCAACCTTCCCATTTAGCTAGGTCTCTCAGTTTCCCAGCTGGGTTT